CTGGGTGACAAAGTGGGGATTGGTCAAGCAGCCAAGGGGACGCTGGAGGAGACCAGCTTCTCATTGATCACAAATTACACAATGCACAGTTACACTGGCATGAGAGGAAACTGGTGTGAAATGACCTCACCAGCAATATCTGCTCCATGTTTAGAATTTAGTAAGAAAAAAGAAACAAGAAAAAAAGAAAAAGAAAAGAAACAAGATAGAAACTCACATTTCTAAAACTTTCACTTTTAAACCTATTTTTAAGTGAGAGATGGAGCATTTTAAAAGATTTCACCATTTGTACACACACAAAGCCCTTGGAATCTGATCATAATCCATGTCAGTTAAGTATTTTCAGGCTGAAAATCCAAGTTTGAAGTACTTGCACTTGAACAAAGCACTTCTCATTTCTATCACGTGTGGACACATCTGAGAGGTGGCGGCTCTGCAGCAGAAGGGCAAGTGGAGCAGAATCTTTGACATTGGCTGGCTCAGGTCAAGCTTTGTTTGTTTCCCAGCATTTAGGGAGAGTTTTTAAAAACCCTCTTTGCCTCTCCCTCAGAGAAGGACCTGAGTGTTGTTCAGCAGTGTTATTGGGGAAGGGTCCTGCTGCCCAGGGACTGGCAGTGCCTTTTGTCCACAATGGAATTGGCTCCCAGGCTCCTTCCCCACCAGCCCAACGTGGTAATTGCAGAGCTCTGAAGATGAATTGCACTAATACATGGTCAGGCTCTGATGATACATTAATGCAATATATCTCCACAGCTTTAGGGCTGTCCAGGAGCAGCGGGAGAGGCATTAGAGTACCTTCAGTCCTATCACATCCTGCACACGCAGCAAATGGAAGAGGGAGGAGAGGGAGAGGACGGAGAGGAGCCATCATGTGAATGTGTTCAAATCTAAACTCAGCCTAATTTCTGTGAGCACTACCACTGTCTTCCTCAGTGCTGGTGAAAAATCTGTTATTTTGCTCATGCTAAACTATTCTTACAGGGTTTTGGGGGTTTGTTGGGTTATATTGGAAATGTTTCTGTGTCATGATTCCCTGGAACCAGGACGGAATGAACAATGGGTGTCCTTCTGCTGGGATCTGCCTTCCACTCAACATGGGAAGATCTCTGTTTATTCAGCTAAATTCACAATTTCTGAGAATCTGTTCTTCCAAATGCATCCCGGCATCCAGTTCATCATCCTGTTTGGGAAAATAACTGAAAGGTGGACTGGGAACAATGGAGATATAAGTGTGAGAAAAGAAGCAAGAGAGCAGGGAAGAACTGGAAAATATGGAACTGAGAGTAACCAGGGATCATAGAATCCCAGACTGGTTTGGGTTGGAAGGGACCCTACAGCCCACCTTGTTCCACGCCCTGCCATGGGCAGGGACACCTTCCACTATCCCAGGTTGCTCCAAGACCCATCCAACACGGCTACGGACACTTCCAGGGATGGGGCAGCTACAGCTTCTCTGGGCAACCTGTGCCAGGGCCTCACCACCCTCACAACCAAGAATTTCTTCCCAATATCCCCTCCAAACCTCCCCTCCTTCAGCCTAAAGCTGTTCCCCTTGTCCTTTCACTGCACTCTCTAAGCATCTCAATCCCTCTGTGGCTGGGGAAACTTTTGTCATAACCAAAGTGGAAAAGAATTTTGACATAACAGCACCTGAATTTTGGAATGCAGAAGCATTTTATCAAAAGTCTTCCAAATGCCTTTTGCTGGTTTTGCTGCCGACAGCTTTGCCAAACCCTCAGTGTAAACCCCCCACACACATTGGACATACAAGTGCTAAAGCTGGAGTAGTGTCAGACCTGAATTCTTTAACATTCTGGTTTCATTCTTAAACTATCGATGATGCACTTTGCTCTGAAATGTCAGAACAAAATAAGTAATACCTGCAATTTATTCGGGTGACATTTCAACAATACAGATTTCCAGATTACAAACTGCAGCCTGAGCGTTCCGCTGAGTGTGGAGATTTGCTGCATTTACATAATGGGGCTGTGTAATGAATATTTATATAATGAAAGCATTTACATAATGACTGCAAGTTAAACATGCACAATAAAGATTCCAGGCCAGTGATTTACAGACTGAGCTTAAAAATCACCTCAAAATGTATTTTATTTTTATTCCTACGAAAGGTTCAATTTATCTCGTGTTCCAAAAAATTGAATCCGACCTCCTGCAAGTCAAGGCTGCGTTGATGTAAATCATGATCATGCCCTGGAATTAGTCTACATTGAGTCATTTGTATTCAGAGATTTCAGTTCCTTATCTTTTAGCAGCAGCTTTGACAAACAATTTGAGAATATTCTAAATATGCTTGGTTAATATAATTTAGTGCTGGATTTGAGATACAACGCTTCCCTGTGAGCCTCATTAGTGCCACTGGGAATTACAGGGGAAAACTGGGAGAAATTAGAAAGTGCAGATGAAGCTGATGTTTAGAGAGAGGTGAGGAGCTGCAGACAGAATATAAACCATTACAGAGATCTGGTGTTTGCAACTCTCCTGCATTTTCTTTTCTAATAAATCCAGGCTTTATATTTGCCAGGCTGATGTTCCCTGGGCTGTGAGAGCCATTTGTAACTGTCTGCACATGGAACATGCACCTGAGCACAGGAGTGTTACTGGAATGGAAAAAGTCTTCTTTATTTGTTGCACTAGCAGAACATGTGCTGGAAATTGTACCTTTGCTTCCATCATGTTTTACAAGATTTTTGAGCAAGAAGTAATTTGGATCCTGTGTTCTCCCATTCCAGACCAAGCTGTGTCCGTTAATCAAGCAGGGGACACCCAAGGCACGTCCCAAGGCACAGATTCCCAGAATCCCAGAGGCTGGAAAAGAGCTCCAAGGCCATCAAGTCCAACATGTGGCCAATCCCCACTTTGTCACCCAGAGCAGAGCACTGAGTGCCATGTCCCAGTGCTCTCCCTTGGTGCCCACCACTTGGAAAAGGAGGGTTTGTGGGGATGCAGGTCTGTGACATGGCATCTGCAATGAATTTGCCAGACCTCAGCACTGAGGCTCATCAGGGCATCCCTGCCTGGCCTGTCCTGCCATGCTGTGTCAACCCAGGAGCTCTCCCTCCCATCAGAGACGTCCATGCCTAGTCTGTGGTAATTTTGCCTCTTTTTTTATCTCCCATGGGCACTATAAACTAAGAGGAGGGATTTAGATTAGAGATTGGGAATAATTTCTTGGCTGTGAGGGTGGGGAGGCCCTGGTACAGGTTGCCCAGAGAAGGTGTGGCTGCTCCATCCCTGGAAGTGTCCAAGGCCAGGTTGGATGGGGCTTGGAGCAACCTGGGATAGTGGAAGGTGTTCCTGCCCATGGCAAGGGTGGGACTGGATGAGCTTTAAGGTCCCTTTCAACCCAAATCAGTCTGAGATTCTGGGATTCTATTCATATCCACTTCCAAGAAGGGGTGAGAAGGCAAAGTGAAGCAAGAATTTGACACCTAAAAGGGAAACCAAAGAGAGGTTATACCTGCCTGCCCTTGGACCTTAAGTGGTGGGAACAGCTCCAGTTTGCTCTACTGGGCACTTGGTAGGAGCACTCTGAGCACCCCTGTTGTCTCTTCTCATTCCACAAGATCTTCCAAGAATGTCTGCCTCAAATTCCATTTTCAGTTTTCACTGTGGTAATGGATGAGCACACCTTTCATCATTCCCAGTCCTTTGGTTAAGGTACAGAGCCAGGGGCTCACTGGAAGCTCTTTGATTATCTGCATTAATTTTCATGGAGTCACTGAGGTTGAAAAACCCTGTCAGCTCATTGAGTCCAACCATTTCCCCAGCACTGCCAAGGCCACCACTCACCCATGTCCCCAGGTACCACATCTTTTTTTTCCCTGAATTCAAGATGAGGAAACTCTGCCTATTCCTCAGCCCCTTCTGCAGCCCGAGTGCACTAATTCTTCTTTTCTGCTTTATCCCTCTCCAGGAACATTATAAGAGCTCCTTTCTGCAGCCACTCAATGCTTTAAGCTATTACTCTAAAGTATCACCACGGTTTCTAATAAAATTTTATTTGACATTTAGTTAAAATCCATTTTCTGCTACAACTGAATTTTTCCTCGGGTCCCTTGATGGACACTTCAAGCCAAATTCATTGTCATTGTCTTAAAGGTCAAAAGTGAGGGTTTTTTTTCCAGATCTTGCTTTGTAAAGCAAACTGTTCCTCAGGATTATGAGAGGCTGTGACAGTCCATGAAAGCCTCCTTCCCTGCAATTACATGGATTTTATAAAAGTTGTGGGAGCAAAGAAAGCCTTTCATTGTAAAATCAATCATGACTGTAGAGTCCCTGTAAAAGAACCAGTGCAATGCCAGTCAAGCCAGCTGGGAGTAGGGAGCAGCTCCTCCCAGGAACACCAAATCCATCCTAATTTCCAGAGACAGGAAAAAGTATAAATCTGATATTTCCATTTATACTTTTAATTCCTCATAACATATTTTGTTTGCAATTATTCCTAAGTATAATTTACTTCATTCATTAAAACCATTCTAATAAGCTGTGCTGCATCAAGGAGTAATGACTCAATGGTATAGAATCCTAGAATATCCTGAATTGGAAGGGACCACTGAGTCCAACTCCAGGCTCTGCACAGGACACCCCAAAAAGCCCACCCTGCATCTGTAGTTATAGTAAAATAAATGACAGTAAATTAAACCTATTGTATGATGTGTTCATGTGTTTAACTTTCATGCCCATTTCTAGAGAGTCCTGTGTCTTCCTGATTATGTCCTTGCTTGGATTTTAATTGGAATTGTATGATCCATGTCTGCAGCCTGTTAAAACATACTTACTCATATTTAAGGTGCCCTGATGTCTTCATTTGTGTGTTAAAGTAGTATCCCAGTTTTCCCTGATCTCACCCAAAATCTGAAGAAGCTTATTTTCTAAAGGTCCCATTAGACACGCACTTTTCAAGGCAAAAATGCTGCCACTCGTCCCACTTCTGACCCCCCAAAATGCCAACCCTGTTGGGGTGGTAGCTCCACACTCACCAGACGGGGAGATGTGCCTCCAGGAGATGGAAGGCTCTGGTTTCCCTGTGGCCAGACACACCAGGGTCACGTTGCTGCCCTCGTTCACATTGATGTCACTGGAGATGCGGAATATCTTGGGAGACACTGGAATGAAACAAGGAGAAAGGAGTCATGGAAAGCTGCTGACTTGGTACAATCCCAGCAGAGCACGGAAAGCTGGGAGAGCTGGGATACCTGGATTTGCTGGGAGAGCTGGGATAGCTGGATTGCCTTTGGGATAAAATTACAGGTAGGTGTTGAAATGCAACTGTGCAAACCCTCAGTGAGGTGTGAGCACAACTATTTCCATCAGGTTTGCAGAGCTCAGCCCTGGATCCCAAATGCTACAACTGAGAAAGCAGCACTTCCCTGTGTTTTGTGCAAAGCAGGGGTTGCCCTCGATTTCCCAGGAAACATGGATGCTCTTGTTGAAAGGCTGAGCTTGCTCGTGACAGTGTGTAAAGAAGAGAAAATGAAATTGTTCTTGTACTTTTAAAAATTCAGATGCCTGTTACATCCTGCCTGTGTGTTCTTGGAGAGTTGTATCTCCTCCTGCAGAAGACTAAAATACATTTATTTCTGTTGCCTCATATTGCTCTGAGGCCCCAGCAGCACCAGGGCTAGGAAAAAAAATAAGCTGGATGTTTTTTTTCTTTGATTTCATCAGCAGAATTCTTCACTAACCTCATTTTCTGTACTACTTATACACCTGGGCATCAGAGAACAGAGTTCCACAGGGATGGAAAGTGACGGAAAGCATTAAATGGCCTGTCCTTAAGGGAATACTTTACTTGTAATGTTACAAAGGGAGAAAGGGAACTCAGGGTACCAGCAATGAAGGCAAGAATTCTGGCTTTCAGTGTGAATCTCTCTAAAGAAAAAACCCTCTCCAGACTTTCCTGAAGCCAGGAAGGTCTGATCCAGCAGAAATGTGCAGGCTTTTGTTTGGGTTTGAGGCTTATCCTCAGGAATTTTACAGTCTTTCTAAGCGAAGATTGGACCCATGACATGGTGGAAGGTGGAGAGTTTTCCAGACTTACAGAATGCAGATTAAGTGATTTTCTCTTAAGCATGTGCTTTGTTCTTTCCCTAATTGACTGGGCTCCTCTTTAATCTTGGTTTTACAGCAAGGAAATGAAATAAAACCTAGTAGTGTCATTACAATGACACTGAGCAGGTCACATCATTCATTCATTTCCAAAATAGAATTAGAAAAGAAATGAATAAGAGATGTACATCAATTAAAATAACACACAAATAAGCACAAACATGTAGTCCTGCTGTATAATGCAATTCTGTAAATTATATAAATGACACAATATGATCCAGTACTCATGGAGAATTGTTGATGTTATTATTATCAATTATTTCCCAGGAAGATCTTTTTTCCCATGATAGAAATTGGCTTTCACAGTATTTCTGGAACCGCACAGTGTGAGACAAATCAGGATTTCTGGTATATCAGTATGCTGCTAATTTTTCTGCTATTTACTGACTGATAGGGATCATTACATTCAGATCACTCAAATCTGTGGAATTTAGTAATTATGACTTAAATATATATGCATAAACACAATGGAATGTTAATATTTATTAAGAATTAAAAATGTTTATTTTGCATACATATTTCTTCTGATAACTCTAAAGAGACTGATATATGAGCAGATTTAGCATTTCATATCTGCTCTGCTGAGCTCGAGTGCAGATTAAACCCATCACAGAGCTCCTCTACATTTCAACAACTACAGCCTTCCACCCATCTCACGTGGCAGCTTGAGAAGGTCAGAAAAAATTAAATATAGCAGCGAATAAACATTTATTCAGTAAATGGATTAACGAGAGGCAGAAGAAATGAGATAATAAACAAGGTTGAAAAGAGGAATTAAACTCCTGAGTAAATTTTGTGCAGGGGTCCAATATGAAAAGTACTTTGCAGTAACCTGACTTCTCTTTTTAATGCTTTTAAATGAGAACCTCTCAATTTCAGACAAGGTGTGTGACCAAAGGCCTGGGAAGCTGCTGTGGGAGGGAAGGCTGAGAGGTCATTTAACCATAAGAAAAGAAGGTTTAAGAGAGACCTTGTCACCTTGTCATAGTATTGCAATGGTGGCTGAGGGAAATGTGGAGACTCCCTTCTTACAGGAGTCACATGGAAAAGGTGAGAGGTAACAAGAACACAAGAGGAAAACGTGTCACAGTAGAAACCATCAGCCACAGAATCATTAGGGTGGGAAAAGCCCTCCAGGATCATCACCTCCAATCTTTGGCCAAATATCCCCATGCCCACTAAGCCACATAAGCCCCTTCCAACCTGGCCTTGGACACTTCCAGGGATGGGGCAGCCACAGCTTCTCTAACCTGTGCCAGGGCCTCAGTACCCCCCCAGTAACAACTACAGGAGCTGAACATAAAGGCAACGTGGGCAGGGTGCCCTCAGTGAAAAGTGGTGGAGACACCACAGTTCTCCTCTCACCACACACAAAGCCCACCCCTGGGTGCTCTGTTTTAAGGACTCGTGACCATCTCCTGATCTCTGAAGACCTTCTCCAGATAGTCTTTGGATGTATGATTTTTTTCCACGTATACACAGGTTTTGTAATATTTTCTATACATCTGCCTTTTCAAATTTCAAAACCAAATCTCATTTAAATACATCTAAATATAGCTGTGAAAATGCAAAATATGCTGTTGGCGGGGCTTTTTTGAGATGTTTATCAGAGCTGTGACTCATCAGGTCTCGACCTGGGCTAACAATCTCCAGTAATTCATCCCACAAGCAGACGGAACAGGTCCCTGCTCAGTCCCCACTCTCTCCTGGGTGTGGCAGTGATGGGGGCATGGGACAGACATGCTGGTACAAGAAATGGTTTCTCTGAGGTGGCCAAGGTAGTCAGGGCCAGTGGTACAGCCCTAAAAGTCTTCTCACGCCCTGGCAATGGACAGCCTGCCCACAGCACACAGGGAAGCTGCATTTCCCAGGGTGAGATCACCACCTGCATCTTGACCCCACCTTGCTGTAATGACACATTAGGGACCTTCATGGCCTGAGCCCTCTGCTGCAAAGACTGAAAAAATCAGGTGAAACATTGATTTCTCTCTGCAGACACAATAATGCATCATTTTGCTTTTCTAATATGCAGATTGATTTCACTAACTTGTGGAATATCTTGAAATCACTGACATGACACAGGAAATAGAATCCTATTCTTCTTTTTATGGCTTGGACATAATAATTAGTTTTTATGACAAATACATAGAAAAATTAGAATGTGCTTATGAGGGTTATTAAAAGCAGGTCTGAACTCCATTTGCCACTAATTGAGAATCTCTATGACTCCTCAGTTTGCAATCACCACATCCCCTGGCCTCTGGGGAACCTTCCTGTTACAAATGAGCCTGTTTTCCCAAAGTTTTCATGAATTTTAGTGCTGCACTGGCATGAAGATTTCTTGTAAGACACCCTTAAATTCCGGTTCTTTCCTTCTCCTATTCTTCACATTTTAGTCAGGACGACGAAACAACTTGTGGCTGAATAACCAGACACAGCCAGAACACTCAAATCATAGAATTATGGAATCGTTAAGGTTGGAAAAGACCTCTAAGATCATCAACTCCAACCATCAATATGGGGGGAAAAGAGAAAAACAAGACAGTTAACCAAAGGAAAGATTTAAAGAAAAAAACCAACCCAAGCCAGGTTGAAATGTGATTATTAGGAATAATTATTATGCCTGAATCGTTTGGGAATGAGAAGAGAAGGAAGCATTGACAGCTACAGGGTCTGCAAGGGGCCACAGGACCATCTGCAGAGCTCATCAAGAACCATCTCCAAGCCCCACCGAGGTGTGAACGCTGCCAAACACAGCACTCGAGTTGTGTTCATCCCCAAAAACAGATGTCACTTATTTCCAGGAGATTTCACTGGCTGCTGTCCCACACAGCAGTGAGAGCTGCTAATCCAGCCCCCCACTAATGAGCCAGGGAGGTGTGTCTGCATGGGCAGCTCCACCACCTGCTCCTGACCCAGCCCAGCTGCAGATCCAGTCCTAGTCTTGCTTCCGTGTGGTTTGGGAGAAGATTCCATCCAGCCTGCGGCTTTATGTAGGGCATGCCAAATCTTGCTCACCCCAAACTAAAAATGGCAGGATTGCAGACCCCCCAAAAGCCTGGAATCTGCAGGGATTGCCATCAGTGCAGAGGTTAGCGACACGAAGTCACAGTGCAGACAGCAAATTCATAAGTTGTCATAAATCAGCTCCTTTGAATACTCTCAGAAACAAGGAACTGTTTGAAAACAGTATCAATTCTGTCAAGATTTTAAAATTATTTATATCATAGAATCTTAGAATCAGGGAATAGTTTGTGTTGGAATGGACACCAAAGCTCATTCAGCCTCACCCCTGCCATGGACAGGGGACACCTTCCACTATCCCAGGTTGCTCCAAGCCCTGCCCAACCTGGCCTTGGACACTTCCAGGGATGGGGCAGCCACAGCTTCTCTGGGCAACCTGTGCCAGGGCCTCCCAACCCTCACAGGACGATTCCTTCCAAATATTTCATCTAACCCTGTCCTCTGGCAGTGGGAAGCCATTCCTTCTTGTCCTATTACTCCAGGCCCTCATAAAATAAATCCTCCACCTCCTTGGCAAAGATGTGCACTGTTTTCCTCCTCAGCCCTGTAAGCAATATGAATCCCTTAAACACCGCATACCATGACTAAAATCCCTTATTTTAAAATAAACCAACTCTCAACATCACCAAAAATAATTTCCAACAAAATCATTAGTTGAACATAGCACACCATTGATCATAAAAAAGATAACTGTGCTTTTTAGAGCAGTAAGAACATTTATCAACTTTTTTATTTTAAAAAAATGCTTAATTTTTATACTTTTTATAGTATTATTTTGTTTCATAACTGAACATTTACTGAGTTGTAAAATACCCCCAAATCACACATGATTTTTACAGTATAGTTAATACAGGTTTTAAATCAGGGGAGCAAATAAAATAAAGTAGAACCACCAGCCTGTGCAAGCGTGGCACAAATCTTCATTTACGTGACAATCAGTCTCCAACTGCGAAAACCAAGAATCTTTTGTATT